GAGAGAGAGAGAGAAAGAAAAAAAAAATCCAAGTTGGAAACTTGTTTACCAATCAAGGAAACAGAAAACAAAGCGTGAAAGTTGATGGAAGTAAAAAGTAAAAGAACAATGAATGTATAAATTACAATGTTAATATTTTAAAAAAAAAGAAAAGAAAAAGGAACGTACAAAGGAATCGCCTCGAGGAATTCGAATGAAACACGTATCGATAACGAAGAAACTTTTTTTTATTTTTTTTATTCAATCGAGAAAGTTGACGTATCATCAGAAATACGTATCGTCGAAGAAACTTGTATATTTAGACGAAGAAAGTAAGCGAGAAAGGGAGACGAAGGATAGAAAGGGAGGAAAAACAAGTCACAAAAATAAGATCGATAAAAATATTATTAAACTCTGTTTACAACTTGTTGAGAAACAGTTAGAAGCGATTCCGGAATTTCCGAGCATAGATAGATAGATAGAATCGGTTCATCGTCCGTTCGTGGCATTACGAGTGCGCGGCATTCACTGGATGATCTGAGCCGATTACCACCGCGTTTCCCCCGTTTTATGATATTTTTCAAACGTAAAAAAAAGGAAGTGGCGCGGAATCTGTGCCAGTGGGTCTCGGTCTTCTCCTCGCTTCATCCTCCCACCAGAGGCGCCTTCGTTCGAGGCGAGCAACTCGGCGAAGAAACGGGGCCGAGGGTGGGGGAAGCGGCGGCTCGAGTGGTAGGGGGTTGGGAAGGTGCATAGAAAGAGGAAGCCTCTGGAAAGCTGAGCCCGACTCTGCCGCTCGACCGCTCCGCGGCTTCTCCGAGAAACGAGATTTGAAAATTGTTCGAGGGCACGACGAGGCCTCGATTTCGAAATTTGATTCTTTTTTTTTTTTTTTCGCAGAGAAGAATCGGATCTTGAACGATATTTCTTCGTTCAACTTAGAATAAAATATATGTAAATCGGTTGTAGCCGAAACGAGGAAACGTTGTATAATCTATTTATTATGCATCGAGTTATTAATTAACTCGCGTAGCTTGACTTTTCTAGACTTTTCCTCACTTTTTCATTGGGCGATTGCGATCACGAAACGCACAACTCCGCGAGACGGTTGGTCGAAAACCGACCGGTCGAACGTTTCACTTTGCACGATTTCTTACACAATCGGTTTGTGCCACTTGCGAGACACGCTTACCCACAACCAGCGTCCCGCCAACGCGGACATCCGGATCACGCGAGGGAGGGGGGGGGGGAGGAGGCGCCGTCATAAGTGGTAGCTTTTTGCCACTTTTATGCTCGTTAATCCGATCGATTAGGAATAGACGGGCGGAGGGAGAGTTTAATCGCGAGCGCGGAGAACTGAAATATGCAACGCACGGCGAGTGGCGACTCGTTGGCACACTTTCCTCGATCGTCTTCGATCCGATTTTCCTATATATATATACATATATATATGCGTGTGTGTGTGTATTCTATCGGATATTATTACGGTCCAAGCCTCGATTCTCGATTATCAATTTTGTTTCCAATACGAGTTTAAAATTTTCTTCTTCTCTCCACTCCTCTCTTCTCTTCTTTCCTAAATCTTAGAACGGTTATTTCGACGCGTATCGGAAATTTTCTTTCATTTCTTTGCTCGAGCGACAAAATGGAGCGGAATAACTGGTCCAACGTTCCCAATCACGAGTCGAAGCCTTTCTTCCTTTTCATTATTTTCGATCGAGCGACGGATTACTAACTAGATATCTTTGAAATTTCAGAAATGTTTTTTTTTTTCTGAATTTTATTCAAATTTTCCACCGTTATTCGGAACCGATTGCAAAGTATCTTATTCTCTTTTCTCGATCGGACGGAAACCGACGGAAGAATGGAGCAGACGCACAGACGACGATTGTTGTGTTTTGAGCCAAACAAAATTGGATAAAAATTTTTATTCGGTTGCGATAAACAAACAATTGAATAAATAAATAAATAAATAAATAAATAAATAATACAAAAGAAATGGAAGAAATGGAATGAGTCAGAATGAGAGAACGAAAGAAAGGGATCAGTAATAAGTAAAAATTCTTGTGTGCGGTGAACGAAGCTCGATGATCGAACGTTCGATTTCTCTCCACCGTGTCCAGCGCCCGTCGTTTCGTCGTTCCTCCCGATCCATCGCAACCGCGTTCAATCGTTACGTTTTCAACACCTCTACGTGTCACGTGCGAATTCTTTAAAACCGTCACTTTCTAACGGAGCCTGTGCGTGCGTCAAGTGTGCGTCCGAACTGTCTTCGCTACTCCCATCGTCCCATCGTGTCATTGTCACCGTCGTCCTTGTCTCGTCTCGTGCTCATGCTCTCTCTCTCTCTCTCTCTCCTTCTCCCCTCTCTCCTTTCAATTAATTGAAATGGATCGACAAATGTATCGGTGCTGTCTCGTCTCGAAGAAGAGGCGACGAACGATGGCGGGTGAGGAGGACGGAGGATCAGGACACCCTCGAGTCGGCGAACAGGTGAGCGTATCCCCTGTAAGGGAGATCCACCTCCTCGGACCGCTTCTTCCGGTAATGGTGGTGGCCCACGTCCTGCGCGTACACCACGTGGTGGCCGCCGCCGCTCTCGTGCCCGCTCGCCAGCTTCTTCACGGCCACGATCAAGGAGAGCATCAAGGCCAGCGCGGACACCATCAACGCCTTCATTGCCAGCAGGCCGAGCGCGCCGAATCCCAGCGCCGCCATCATCTTGCCTGAAAATTGCAACCAACCAATTGTGATCGTTCGAACATTCAGACAGAGAACAGAAGAGAGAAATTTTTATAACATCTCATCTTAAGGTATTATGATAATTTTCTTCAGTTTTCAGGACGAGATTATCGTTATTAGGAAAAATCGTCTTACCCATCATGAGAGCGAGCATCATCATCCCGCCACCGCCGCCTTCTTCCCGCCGCCGCCGCCGCCGCCGCCGCCCCCGAAACCTCCGCCGCTTCCTCGTCTTGCTGAAACCGAGACGAGAGAAACGAATGAAGGAACGAATATTATTCATCCCCCGCCCAATACATCGAATCTATCGAACCTTGATCGACCGGCAAACTCTCTTGGAGAGCGGCCTCGAGATTTTGGGGCAACAAGGCGGGCAGTTTGATCCTCAGCTCCCTCCCCTCCAGAAACTGCATCAGGCTTCCCACGCTGCCGAATCCCTTCATCAGCTTGCCCTTCCTCGACAAGGTTGGCTCCACCTCGACCAGGCTGACCCCGTCGAAGATCTCGAGGTCGGGCTGCTGGCTCGACCTCTCCAGAAACTGTTGCACGATCCTCCTCACGATCCTGATCCCGTAACAAGACACAGAAATATTCTTAGACGCGTCCGCGCCCGAGCAATCGGGCGGGAACGCCGAGGCCTCGTCCCTCGTCCCGTTGACGTCCGTCGCGCTAGCCTGACTCGCGATGCAAAACACGCAGACGACGGACAGGCAGATGGCCAGGCAACGGCCGCGCCGATCCCCGTGGCGCGACAGGACGAGCGCGATCCTTGCCCAATCCATGCTCTCCGCGCACTCGGACGATGCTCTCTTCCGACTGTATATCGCGACGACTGCTGCGGCGGTTTAGAAACACGCGGTTGGAAAATTGTCGGGAACCTTGTCGTGGAACCTACGGCGGAGGTCCGAGTGGTGCATCTCGGCCGATTCCTAGTCTCGTTTATATATACGTAGTTGTTACGTGCCGGTCGGTGATTGTAACTATGAAGAAGAGAAGAAAGAACAAAAAAGAAGAGAGAGAGAGAGAGAGAAGGAAGAAGAAGAGGAGGAAGAAGGAAAAGGAAAAAGAAAGGAAGAAAAAAAGGAAGAGGAGAGGATCGGGGGCCGCCTCGACCATCCGTTCTCCTCTCGTTCTCGCGTTGCTCGCTCGTTGCGCGCCTGCATCATCATCGCCATCATCATCCTCCTCCCGCGAGATTTTTTTCTCTTCTCCTCCTCTCCTCTCCGTCTTTATCTCCTACTCCCCTTACGTTCTTTTTTTTCTTCTTTCTCTCTTTCAATTCTCATTTTTCCGAAGCGAAAAGTTTCAGAGCGTTACGCCGCGGTTGGCTGCAACGCGCGAGCCTTTACGCCTCCGCCTTCCTCTCCTCCCGTCTCTCTCTTTCTCTCTCTCTCTCTCACACACACATCGTCTCGCGCTCCCCTTATTCTAGATCACTGGATATCGCGCAACACTCCGCCCAAACGGAACGAACCTCGGCTTCCTTTCCCTCTTTCCGCGATTTAGTGGAGCAGAAGAGAACGTAACCGATTTCGAATCTCGGCGCGCGCGCGCGCGCGCCTCGTCTTATCCGCAATTAACGGCACGCGAGATCCGCGCCACATATTAGCCACGATTTTTAACGACTCGATTCACAAATTTTTCCTCTTTTCCTTCTTTTTTCTTTTTTTTTTTTTTTCTAGAGAGAAAATTTTCATCGAGAGACGTCGTCAATACGGATCGTCGTGGAGGATTCTCCTTGGATCGAATTAATTTTATTCCAAGGAGAGGAATGTGGACGAGTCGTTGTCGTTGTTGTTGTTGTTGTCCGGGTCCGGGTGATAAGCGGGTGATAGGAGAGGACGGGAGCAGAGGGAGGAAGGATCGGCGGTCCGGCTCGATCGAGACACCAGGCCGGGATCGAAACTAGTTCATCTTGCCGCATACCTTTCTCTTCTGTTCCACTTCCCTTCGCGTGCCGCTCGAACGATACACGCGGTATCGTATACGTGTGTATATATACGTAATGCTGGATGGTAGGTATAACTAGGCCCGGTTTGATACCGTTCGCCTCGTTCCTTGCCACGACGCCACGCCACACGGAACGTGAACGTGCGATCCTGTGAAACCCGATCGACGGGATGAGGCTTGGATGGACAACCTTTCTTTCTTTCTTTCTTTCGTTCTTTCTTTACTTCTTTCTTTTCGTTTCGATTGGAGGAGAGAAGATGATGATCGAGATCCCCCGGGGTGGGTTTGGTTTTGGATCGAAATTCTTTTTCTCCTTGTTTGGACGAGTTGTGGAAATTTTTTCGGGGAGGGGAGGGGGTCGTTGTTGGGAAAAAGTTTTGGAAAAAAAGTTTTCGAAGGGTATATATCGTGGTATATATTCTTATATTGAATTATGAGGTATTCGCGAGGTGGTGTTTATTACGATTGGAAAGAACAAACGTCTGAAAAGTCTTGAAATTTTTCATGTTCCTTTCCTTCAACAAGGTGGGTAAGTTTCTTAATTATTTCTCATTTACAAACTTGGTTACAGCTGTATTTAACTGTACTTAGTCAACACTTCTATATTTAGAATTCAATTATCTTTCTTTCCCCGTCAAAGTAGCTGTCTTTAATTATCCAACACCTTCAATTTAATATTTTACGATCGTAAATTTCCCCTTAACGACGCCTTTTAATATCCTGTGTAATGATCATCAAGTTTTTCAAACGACTGGACTCGAGTGTCCTTGTTTTTCCGTGTTAAAAAGACGAGAGAGGAGAGGAAGAGAGAGAGAGAGAGAGAGAATTTAATCAGGCATCGGGTTTCTCCCCGGGATAATTCTTCCTGCTAATAAGCGAGGGAGGAGGACAATTTGGAACCGGAGAATCGGTTGGAGAATCTATCGTTGCGGACGTTTTCTCCTTTCGATAGACGAGGAAATGTGTGTCGGCAACAACAAGCGGCCGATCATTCAGACACAGACTGGTCGACACCATTTACGCGCGTCCAACATCCTTCTACGACGATAATAAGAAAAGATACGATCGATACGTCCAGAGATACTTTCTCCTCTCGCGACGAATTTCTCCGAATCGGGCGAAAACGCGCGCGCGTTCGAAACGAAACGAAACCAGGCCACTAATTTTCTCGATCGAGCGCGTAAATTCGATGATAAACGATCGAGAAAATGAAAAAAAAAAAAAAAAATGAAATTGAAATTCCATTCCACGCGAAGTGGATCTTTTCGAATTTCCTCCCAATTTTGAAGATCATTCGAAGAATTCGATTATATTTTTATTATCGAAAATAATAATCTCGATCCTTTCGATTTATAATTTTATTATAACTTTTGAACGATTTTCTACGAATTCGATTTCGTACCTGTTTACGAATTTCGAATGATCGTCGAAAAATAATTTCAAATTCTTCGCTCGCTATTAATTATTATACACAAAGTGTATTCCTTTTTCTCGTCTTTGTGTGATCCACGTGTCGATATTCTTTTTTTTTTTTTCTTCTCTCCAATTTATCGAGAATATATCGAGAACTGGGTCAACGATGACGTCCGCCTCTCTCCGATACCCGAAACCGAAAGTTGATCGCGCGAAGAGGAGGAGTAGGGAAGAGGGAAGGGAGAGAAAGAGATTCTTTCTCCCGGGTGTCCCTTATCGAGCCATCATCATCGTCGTCGTCATCTTCTTCTCCTTCTTCTTCTTCTTTTCGATTCTTCCCAATCGAGGCGGAGAAAGCGGCGAAACGGGGACGGTTTATTTGAATGAGAGATTCGCCGCTACTTTTTCGTTTTCCCTTCGTCCCTCGATTTGAAAATCGCCTCCGAAAATCGACGAGGCTTCCGACAGCCTCGAACTTTCGTCTCGAAGATTCCACGAGTGCAAAGAAGAAATTCGATCCGAATTCGTTGAAACGTGTGAGTTCGTCTTTGTGTAATTCTTTTTTTTCTTTTTTTTTTTGAATACCGCAAAATTTTGGAAACTGGAAACGTTACGAGTTTTGTTAGTTGAGTTAGAAGTTGGAATAAACGTACGCTCGAGGATAAAGATTAGATGTTGTAAGTCGAGTCAAATTCCTAGCTCGAATCGCCATCTGGTGGTGTTGTTGAAGTCCCGCTAAGTTCCGCAAAGCGGAGCACGACGTGACGAATACCACGAATATATTGCATACATATTTTTTTCTATCCAACAGTTAGAAAATAATTTATCGAATTTTCGTTCCGTGCACAATCGGCCAATTCTTCTACCAGTCGAGATGGAATTTTTGGCGGTATAATTAAATTTTCCGTCAATCTTTATTGATTGCATTCATTTCGTAACGTATGAACCGCTAATAATTCTGGATCTAGAATTAAAAATCTGGAACA